AAGCCATCAACTACTCAACGTGAAAAAGCATCTAACCTTATCATCAATGTCGGTGAAGTTCCGTACGTATTTAACTTCATAACCCAAGTGTTTCAAGTACCTGCTAATTGACAAACTGACAGATAAGTTTTGACAACATATTTTCATTGCATTAGATCTGCATAAAATTCATTGAAGTATACTTGTAAAAGTGAAACAGACAGTCAAGAAAAAAATACACTTCTGTTGCATGCATCATAATTTACACAACATGAAGGCGGTCAAATTTTGTAAATAGCATAGACATATGTTTCTAACTTATGAATCTAACATTTTTCACCACATTCTAGCTCACACAAATTTGCCGATATATGCTAAAAAGGTGTCTTGAACATCTCGGACACTTCATGGTTAACTGGTTAGTCAATGGTACTTCCAAAATGCATGGATGGCTTGGACTAACCATCATAAAAAAAACCTGATTTATAGCTAGATCATGTAACTGGTGCCACTAACAGAATTTTCTGGAACACTCAAAAGTTAAGCCAATTATCGACAACTTAAAACAATCTGAATGGTTTAAGTTTTTTGGTTCATGGAGAAACCACCAAGGGTTTTCTTTGCTTACTACAATAAAATCTAACCCCACCAATCCATCAAGCCTAATATCCGGACAACCATAGTTGAAGAAAAATCAAGCTTTCTAAACCACATGAACGGCGAAGCATCATGTCGCCCACATATTACCAAAACACAAAAAAGAAGACAAAATCATATGCATCCCAAGACGAGAATTTACCAAATTAAGATGAAGAAATCGCAGATCTGAAGCGGAAAAGGGAAGCAAGGAGCGGAGGACGAAAAAAGGGAATGACGTAGACCTGTAGAGTATGTCGAACGCCACGTAGGCGCGGGCGTGGCCGATGTGACTGAAATCGTAGGGCGTGATGCCGCACACGTACATGGAGACCTGGCCCTCCACGCGAGTCTTGAACACCTCCTTCTGCTTCGACATTGAATTGAAAAGCACCAATTGGGGATTCCCCATCCTTCGCCTCCCTTTCGATATCTCTTTCCCCTTTTCCCAAGTAGGACCTAAAAACCCTAACTCTCGGAGACTGACGGCGGCGCCAATAGCGTGTGACGTTCCGTTCCTCTAACGTTCGGTCTTATTTTTCGTTTTGGGATTTCCCTATTTTTCGATAGAAGAAGCGAAGCCTTCTTCTCCTCTGCATCTTCTCTGAAAAAAACTCTGTATATGACAATCAAGGATTAATCACGCATCGACAAGTCGGAAGAACCAATTACAGTTCAAGAAAAATCCTATATATTACACAAAAACGAGAAAAGAATAAACGCTATAATTAAAAAAAAAATGAAGCAAGGATTGTCTTATTTTTTCCTGAAAGTATCCAATCGATCGAAACAAAGACAGACGAACCAATGTGAAGACGTCAATTCCGATATTCTCCACATATCATTCGCCAAACCCATTTCTCGCCAATCAAGCACGTCAACAGCGAACCAAAATGAATCCCCAAACCAGATCGAATTCAAGCCAGAAATAGAACAGCCAAGAAACCCTATGTAGCGGTACCCAATCATAATAAAACTCTCCCCCCGTCCCAAATCGAGGGTAAGAGCATCGAACAACATTTTCATCGGGATCCAAAAAATCGTCTGGAAACTCACGCCAAGAAAAAAAAATCAAGAAATTACGGAACACGAGCGATCGAGCCGGGAAGCAGTGAACTCGGCGGCAGCCGAATCGATCGGAGGACCCGGAGGCGCGAACTGGAGAATTGGGGGCGACGGACGACGAAGAAGCGAAGCCTTCTTCTAGGGTTCTTCTCAGGACAGGAGCAGAAGACAGGACGATGGTCCCCAAAAGTTATCGACCCCAAAAGTCGCATAAGGATCAAAATATTAGGTCGGCTCTGACACCAGATGTCACGACACGAGTGATACGTTAACTAACTTATCAACTTCGTTTGGTTTAATCCACTTATCAAAATACTTAAGCTAAAATTTATATAGTATACGTTCTTATAAGTTAATCAAACATATTGTCCACTTCCGATGTGGGACTAATGGGATGTTACACCAAGAGAGAACTCCGTGACGTTGTCATGTGACCGCTGGGTCGATCGGCTGCCCGCGATCGACGAACATAGGACCCCACAACCTGGCCAAGTAAAACATGGTGTAGATTGTACATTAATATTATTAATAATTATATATTATAAATAATATTAACAATGATATCAATATTAATTAAATTAATATAAAATATTATTATTATATTATTTATATGGGAAAATGATATGTGGAGGATATTCGTGCATTGTTGCATCATATGATAGATACTGAGCCACTAAAAAATTCGAATGATTACCTAAATGACCAATAAACTTTACTATCATTTTCTTATTTGGTATGCCTTCAACTTAATATAATCCTCTCTTTTTATACTTGATAAAAAACTGAACAGAAGCCTCTGTTCAAAAACAATGAAACAGTTAATATGACAAAAAAAATAAAACATCTCAAGAATGTAATTATATGGCATCAACTATTTACAAGATATTTTCATTGCATTAGATCTGCATAAAATTCATGGAAATATACTTGTAAAAAGTGAAATAGACAATGCATCAAGAAACAGAACACTTATGTTTACATGCATCATAATTTACCCAACATGAAGGCAGTCAAATTTTGTAAATAGCATAGACACATGTTACTAACTTATGAATCTAACATTTTTCACCATATTCTAGCTCACACAAATTTGCCCATGTATGCTCAAAAGGTGTCTTGAACATCTCGGAATCTGACCATCAACAAGAACAACAATTTACATATTGGTATGTAAATTGCTGAAACACTCAAAAGTTAAGCCAATTATGGACAACTTAAAACAATTTGAACGGTTTAAGTTCTTTGGTTCCTGAAGAAACCACCAAGGGTTTTCTTTGCACAACGGTTGAGTGTGTAACTTAGTTTGATCTTGGGCTAATAGTACCTTATTATTATTATTTGAGAAAGGGTTTACTTACATATGATTCCTCCCTTTCTTCGTATTGGTATTAGAGCTACAAGGATGATAATCTATATTTCAAGATCTCTTGGTGAACAAGATAACATTTTTCGACTATGAAATATTATAGAGTTGGTGGATTTGATATTGAATTTTCTAATTAATCTAACTAGAAGACTTATTTAGAGTCTTATCTCAAAAAGTAAGATCTATAGGAGATGTGATCGGTGGCAACGTAACAATAGCACCAGATGCTACTGATAGAGACGCTATCAAGAGACGAGGATTTTAAATGCAAAGATTGAATTTATATTAAAGAAATATATTTCTTATAATCTCTTTGAAGATATTATTCATTGTAAATCAAGTTTACAGATTTGGATTACTCTTGATGCATTATTAAAAAAAAAGAATATGGTTCGGTTTCAGTATTTAGAAAATGATTTGATAAATACTATATAAGGTGATCTCTTAATTTCTCAGTATTTTTTTAAGATTAAAATTTTATATTAAGAGATATTACTCTTAGATCCAAATGAAATTATTTCTGACGCACGAATCAAACGTTATATTATTTGTGATTTAAAAAAAAATATATATTTCTTATATTATATCTATTTAAGGATGGGTTCAACAACTATCCTCGGTAGAGTTAGAAAATCTTTTTGCTTCTCAAGAATCTCTAGCTAATCAAATGACGGGATTTTCTATTTAAGGAGAGATGAAGATGTCCTTTTTACAAATAAGAAAAAGGATAATGATAACGATAAAGATAAGAAGGATGATACTAATAGCAAACAAGAGATTTTTTTTTTAATAATGATGTAAATCGAAAGAAGATCAAGTATTATAAGTATAGCAAGTTAGGCCATATCAACAAAAATTATCATGTGTAGATTAAAGAAAAAATAATTATAAATAAGAAAGATTGTTATAATATTATTGATAAAATTTGGGGCAAATGCTTTATGGCTGAAACTACTGAGGCCGTGACATCTATTAATTTCGAACATAATTGGATTGTTGATTAAAGATGTGATCATCACTTTACTAGTGATGGCATCAAATTCACCAATTTTTTATCAATACAAAAGTAATGATATAATTATCATAGTAGATAACATTGTTCATCAAGTAGAAAAGAAAGGTACCATCATAATCTCAGGTAAAGATAATGATCTTATTACATTGAAGAGTGTACATCATGTTCCGATGAAAAGTCTCTTCTTTGTTGCAAATGTTGTTGATGCTAAAAATTATGCTTTTTTTTATCCTAATAAAGTCAAATTTCTTTGTAATATAAAATAATTAAATATAGATATTGTACATACCAGTAAAAGGATCAAAATTTTATATATTTTATCAATATCAATATCTTATGTTGACAAGATGAGTATAAATAATAGTGCATCAATCTAGACTTGACAATATAGATTTTCTTAAATTAAAGATTATGATGTAAAAAAATTTAGTAAATGGTCTTCAAAATCTTTCTACTTTTAATAGTAATTAAGTTTATGAAGGTTATCAATATGGCAAAGTACATAGGCAACCTTTTAATAGATCACTTTTAAGATATAAATTTCCCTTAGAGCTTATAAAAAGTGATCTAATGGGCCCTACTCAAACACCATCTTATTTAAGTTCTTGTTATGTGTTTTGATTTATTGATGATCTTACGAGATTCACTTGGGTCTATTTTATAAAGAAAAAAATAAACAAAAAATTTAAAATTTCAAAAGTTCAAGTTAACAATTGAAAGTGCTCTTAAAAGAAAAATTAAAAGATTATACACCAATAATGGCAAAGAGTTCACTTATGATAGATTTTTTTTTTTTTGCAAGGAGTATGGCATCAAAAGGAAACTTATATATATGCAAATACACCACAATAAAATAGTGTGACTGAATGAAAGATTCAACATCTTGTAGAGACTTATAAGTATTGGCTTTATGTAAAAAATTTACCCAAAATCTTATGGGCAGAAGGTATGGCATATGCAACTTATGTTATTAATCGAACTCCTCTTAGTCCAATTAATCTGAAGCCTTCACATGAGCACATGTTTGGTGAGAAACCAAATGTTAAACATTTTAGAGTATTTGATTCTTTATGCTATATTCACATATCAGACTCAAAGAGAAGTAAGCTTGATGCTAAGGCTAAGAAACATATTTTTATTAGCTATGATGAAATGAAGAAAAGTTGAAAATGCATGGATCCACAAACACATAAGTATGTGATATCTTGAGATGTTGTGGTTAAAAAGGTTTTTTATCATTATCCTTCACAAGTAATTTCTTTTGAAAATATCAATCAAAATAATGAAAGTGATATATGTTCAAAACCTATGATTAAATTTCATTTGTTATATAATGCTCTTATGAATTTTAGCCCATATTTTTTCTTATCTATGTCTACTCCTATTATTTCTTCGTCACCAATGATAGAGCAAAGCGATTGGGGGAGTAATGATATTCATGAAAAGGAAATTCCAACATTAAGAAGATTAAAAGGAACAATTGTCAAACCAACATATTAAAGAGATAATGTAACCATATGTCACTATTTCTTTTCAGAACCAATTAATGATCTTGAGCTTACTTATTTCGATGAAGCCACGTGAAAAGATGCCATGAATAAGAAAAATGAATGCTCTTCATAAAAATAAAACTTGGGATCTTATATCAAAGCTTACAAATATAAATCTAATTACCTGAGTCTATAAGGTGAAACATAAGTTAGAAGTATAGATCGTTATAAGGTAAGACTTATTGTAATAGGATTTTCTCAAAAATATAGAGAAGATTATGAAGAAACCTTTAGCCCTGTGGTCAAGATGACATTTGTTAGGATGGTGATTACTTTAGCACCTAATCTTAAATGAAAGCTTTGATAGGGATATTTATATAAAATAACCATAAAGATGTGCTTTTATTTCCAAACCAAATTATATTTATAAGCTCAAAAAGACTCTCTATGGGTAAAGGAAAGCTCCTATGGTATGAACAAATTGCTCAATACTTTCATTTCGAAAGTTATTTTTATTCTTATTCATATATTAACTTATTCATTAAAAAGTAAGGACGTCTACATATTATTTTTCTTCCATATATGGATGATATGATAACTTAATATCTTTCTCTCCAATTTGAAATGAGTCTTGGGATAACTTAATATCTTTGTTAGTATCAAGGTGATAAATATAAAAAAGGATATATTTATCTCTTAAACAAGCTATGCAAAGAAAATTATTGAAATGTTTTAAATTAATAAAAGTAAGAAGGTTTCTACTCCACTGAATGCAAATATAAAGTTAAGTTATAAAGATGGGAAGATTCTTTTTGACTCTCAATCTTTTCTTACTTTTATTGGTAATCTCATATACTTAACAATTATAAGATCAGGTATTAAGTTATTTTATGCAATCTCCAAGGAACCCACATCTTGACGCAGCAAGGAGAATTTTAAAATATATGAATTTTACCATTGATTTGGGATTATTCTATAATAAGGACATACATTTTGAATTATATGGTTATAGAATTACTAATCTAAGAGATGATTTGGATAATTGTAAATCTACTTCTAACTATATCTTTTTATATGGTTCTACTTGCATATCATGATGTAGTAAGAAACAATAATCGATCTTTTTGTTTACAACCAAAGCATAATACAAGACTTCCTCACTTGCTGTTCAAAAATATATATAGTTAAGACGTATAATCGAGGACATGCGTTGTCAAATTATTAATCAAAATATTAAAATTGACTACAAATTCAATTTGTCATGCAAAAACCAAGCATATTAAAATTAAACATTAATTTATATGGAAAAATGTGCTTT